GATTATATATTAGCACCGTAAGACTTGTGACAATAGCGGTATTGTGTTATAACAAAAGCGGTATAAACATAAATGGTATATTAACCAGACCGTTACCGTACCGTTGACCGTTACCGCTCTCATTGTCGTCGAAAGGGATAGGAAACTAAGGAGGTCACTGTTTATCAATAATGGCATTATATCTGGCATTCTCGGCAACAATGAGCCCACCTTGTCTATTTGACCGCTAATATGTATAAAGATTTAATCACATAAAGGCAGCAGAAGTGTTAGAACTCGGGAACTTTCCTAGGAGTCATCTTGCCATCCCAGTTCCTAACGACTAACGACTACGACGAATAACCTCACTTTGGTCTTTCACTAACAACTTGCTGTCTTATTACCGGATACATAGCTGTGGTAAGGTAAGTACTTATCTATTCATAGCCCTAGATCCCCGCAATGTGCACCTTTGCATTTGTGAAGTACTCTTGCGGGTGCGATGCCAATGCCGGCGCTCCCATGAAGATTTCTACCTGCTCTGCAAGGGCGAATAACCATCCCAAATCATGCCACAACGTGGTTCAGACCGACCCATTCTACCTCTCATATGCGTGTTACCATCATCGGCAATAGGGCGAACAGTAGATATTAGCAAGGACTAAAGCAAAGAGGATGCGGCGCAGTCATCATCGGAGAATCAGTACCAAGTAGAGACGAGGTTCTTACACTGCGCAGTTAAGACAGATTTCTGCCTTTGAATTAGGCCAGTGGGGACTCGTTGACATTTAGGATCATGGATCTTTGTCTGTCATTCTTTAGAAGCATCATACACTAGACACTGCTGCTGCCACGTACATGATGTGAGACTGAGTCGCAGGCGGCCAGGATATTGTACCAGTTTGTTTAATCTAATACCTATAATTTTTCAACCTGATAATTACTTTAGTTAGGGGGAATATATAATGGGGAATCAGAGTGATTCGAATATCGGCTCCATTATTGGCTATAAATGTCGTCTTAATACACCTATAACACAGTCTAATGCACATGGCGATTTGATGCATCTGCAGCGTTACTAGCCCGGCGGTTTAAGTTGTTGGTCTTCCTTGTAAATTGTAGGAATGCGTGTTGGGGTTTACTGTATGGTGATATTGCACCCATGAGGGTTGTATGCTTGGTCTCCTGTAGCATGAGGTGCCATGCATACAAATGTCATACGGAAGGGTCGTTTAGATAATAGGGGGATATATTTGCTCGCTTCGAACTACTCGACAGGACCGCTGTTAAGTCAATTATATGAAGAAGGCTTTCCGCTCTTTCATTCTGTCAACTGGTACAAATTGTCTTTAAGCGGACAATCTTTTGGAATTCCAGGCGTTTTCTCACCCTGAGAGTTGTCATATCTTGTTATCCTTCCAAGTTCATCAACTAATCAATTCCTAACATAGCATCTCCCTCTCTCAACCATGTGTCATTCGTAGTTATCGATGTGATTCAGGGGTTACCTACAAAGCCTATGTACTATCAGATCCGTGTCAGGACCTATATAAAGTACTTAGCCACCCTAAAGCCTCTCTCGAATCTGCTCGATACACCGGGCAACTGTCTAGGGTTCGATACAGTACCTACCAGGGACTGGGACGTGGGTGATCTCATCGTTGGCCCTCAAGACAAATTCATCCTTGTCGCAACACAAGAACGACGATTCCCGGATCTTACGCCGAGCTGCACGAATTGAGGATCGACTTATTGGAACTCGGAGATCCCATCGCCCGCGAAGACTATATGCAGCAACTCCAAGGCCATATACCATCTGACATTTTCCAAGGGGTCCCAGGGCTCGAAGCGGACGCGGTCTTGGCCTTCTGGAACCTCGACGTAGGGAATGTTGACAGTTATGGCCTTTCCGACGAGAGCCATATCGGTACTCACTCATCCAGCACACTTCCATCGCTCTACGCTTCCTCGCGCACCTCACCGACAACCGAGTTCGGATCATGGGACATATCTTGGAGTTGGTGCCTGCGCGCCCCGCGGGTATCGATGACCTCAATCTCTGTCGGGAAGTTCTGCAGAAGCTTCATAGTTTCGGGATCGCGCATGGCCACCTCAGTAGAAGCGCGTTTCCAATCCGAGCGGATACTCCCATTGCGCAACTCTAGTTCTTCTATGAATCAAGAGATGGCGTAGGTCAAGCGGCCTTGGATCGAGAAATGTCGAGCCTTGACGACATCCTACGGCAGCCCTTGCCAGAGGCGCAGAAGACGGGGACAGGCGATGGCTCTAATGTGATGACTGCCATACAAGAGCGTGATGGTTATGTCCATCCTGTGCTCTTTTGGCAGCTCAAGAACGAGGGCCGTATCAACCTCTTCCAAGAGGACCATCGTGCCTTATTGATGGAATTGCACGAGATGAAAAGGCCTTGGACTAAAGAGTATGTCGAGGCAACTGTGAAGAAGTTGAGTCCGAACGGAGGCGTTTACCCTAAGACTATCCCTGCTGCTCAAGGCACGTGACTGAAGGGAAGTAAAAGCGGCATTAGTACCAGCCACATCACAGTTGGACCTGCCACGCAAGCAGGGCAAACTAAGTTCCACCAATGCTTTCGGACCTCCCTATCTGCATATGCCTGTTCCTGTATTCCGTGGTCTTATTAAGCCATCGTTTGTTATCCTCGGCCAGCTTCGGCTGCATGACCTCATACCTAAGCTCAGAGCTGGTTATATGAGCTTCGACTTCCCTTCATAAAGTCTTTCACCGCAGCAAGTCAAGGTCTCTAGTAAATAAAATCATATAATTGGGTCTTACTCTTCAATTGGCCCTCTATCGTTCTCTATCAGATCGTCGTGTGCTATAGTAGTTACGATTCGTTGGCTTCGAGGATGAACACATTACGGACCCTAAGACCCCTAGCCTCACGCCTTCAGCCATGCACCCTCCCTAAGACGATCCGCCAGTTCTCCGCTACGGCGAATAGATCTTATGAGTATTTGCTGGTATCAGAGCCTAAGCCGGGCGTCGGGCAAGGTAAGAAGATGGCGATTTTGTCACGCATCTGATAATTAACCCGGGCAGTAACTCTCAACCGACCCAAGGCCCTCAACGCCCTGTGCACGCCGCTCATCGACGAGCTCAACCAGGCGTTGGGCGAGTTCAATAAGTCGGACAGCGTGTCAGCGATTATCCTGACGGGGTCGGAGAAGGCATTCGCGGCGGGGGCCGATATCAAGGAGATGGCACCGCTGACTTTCGCTGAGGCGTACACAACGAGCTTCATCGAGTCGTGGTCGCAGCTATCGACACATGTCAAGAAGCCGGTGGTCGCGGCCGTGTCGGGCCACGCGCTCGGCGGTGGCTGCGAGCTCGCCATGATGTGCGACATCCTGTACTGCACGGAGACGGCCAACTTCGGGCAGCCCGAGATCAAGCTCGGCACGATCCCAGGCGCGGGTGGCAGCCAGCGCCTAACGCGCGCTATCGGCAAGTCGCGCGCCATGGAGCTAATCCTGACGGGGCGGTCTTTCAGCGGCGTCGACGCGGCGCAATGGGGACTCGCCGCCCGCGCCTTCCCCAGCCACGAGGCGCTGATGGAGGCCGCGCTCAAGACGGCCGAGACCATCGCCGGCTACTCGAGGGTGGCGGTCACCGGCGCCAAGGAGGTCGTGAACAAGAGCCAGGACCTGCCGCTGCGGGACGGCGTCGAGTACGAGAGGCGCGTCTTCCACGGCATCTTCGGGAGTAAGGACCAGAAGATCGGTATGAAGGCTTTTGCTGAGAAGAAGAAGCCCGAATGGACGAATGAATAAGTCATCTAGTACTATAGCATATTTGGCAAGGAAGAAGAAAACATGTACGATCACGATTCGTTAAATTGAGTCAAGTCGTGCGTTCTAAATAAGAAATACTAAATCCATTCATGATCAACTACTAGGATTTCTTCGTCTTTAAACCCAGGGCCCTATATCCTACCCTTTTTTGTGATTTTATACCCTCTTATGACGGACGAAGGTATTGAGTGTACTTATACGCCAACTGCTTCTCCTATGCTGACTAAACTGTGCTTTGAGGAACCGTCTGTGGTAATCCGAACGTCCCATGTCCGATCCGCCGTTACAACCATTTGTATATCATATCTTTTATTGTAGTCGAACACACCATGTAGTATTATCGTCAAAATCTGTGTCATCGCCGTTGAAACCGTGCTCTTCGGCATATCTCCTCTAGTCCAAGACTGTCCGTTTCCTGCTTAGCTTCGGTGATATCTTTCGATGAGATAAGGGGGAAAGCAAATGACTAGCAATTTGTAGATAAATAACGAAGCAAAGATCCATTGTGAGAGAGTCTTGGGGGCTACGGAGGCTGAACACGGGCCGAGGATGTTAACTGATAAGGATGCCCCCCTTTTATGGTTGACAGTAAAGGGGAAACTGGTAGGCTGAAATATTAAGTATAATGAAGAGATGAAGAGCAATTGCGGGCATGGAAGGAATTCATAAACACAGTCTTAGGATAGATGGATGGGCGGGTGTTCGTGGATTCGTTAGGGGGTGCCGCTTCTGAACAGAGCCCTCGCGAGAGTTGACTTTTTGTTTCCGCAACTCCACCGAGTTGTAGGGCAGTGCCCAGTTGTCTATGTCGAATTTCAGTTAATGTGGTGAGGTAAATGGAGAAATTCCAAGTCTTAGGATATTTTATAACAATGCCCCTTTATAAATGATCTATTTAGTGTGAGTTGGGCTAGGATAACCCGGCATAAAGAGTTATCCTGACTAGAGCAGAAGCTCCAGACTTGATAATATAATTGTAGGATGGTATTTAATGGTTCGATATATTACAATTTTATATAAGTTGCTATAGCATCGCGATCTAGTAGGCAAGTCCGTAGTATGGAATAGGGGGGCCCACGTGATTACAGGTTGTGGATTTGACGGCACCACATCTTCTCTGCAGCTTTATATGGTGAGTTACGATTTGTTGGATCCAAGCGGAATCGCAGGCACATGATGCCTTCATACGCCAACTTGGCCGAGTGGTCTAAGGCGGCACATTTAAGTGGTAGTTTTACACAATCACACATCTGTGCTATCGAGAGATGCGCAGGTTCGAACCCTGCAGTTGGCAATATTTTTTTGTGGGATTTCACCTTTTTGCACTGTGTATCTAGGTACTCTAATAGAATCGATACTGAATACGGAATGACAACCTTTGATGAGTGACCCCATAGTGAGTCTCTTAGAGAAAGGTTGATAACAGGTTTCCCTATACAATTTGTCACTCGTGAAAGGACTTGAGAAAAGATACGTCGAGTCACGGCCATTGGTTATGTTTCTACCCTTCAGATGCCATGGTTTGTCACTCAACTGAACTTGTCCAATTCAAGCAAGCATCCTAAAATTCTAACCTCTAACCCTTTCCCACAGGTGACTATGTTAAGAACTGTGACGTCGGGTTTGTTAGACGTCTCCTTTTCACATTCGAACTGACATGTCACAATTCTGTCACTCTAGTCTCAATCTAGCTGGAAACAAGCAGAGTTTATCAGAGAGTATATATAATAAGTGATAGGCAAGCAGAATCGCAAGAATATTTCCATACTAATAATAAGTCAATTTGAATATATCATCTGAGAACATTGTCGTATATCATGGTAAATCCGAAAGAGAAATATCAGATGAGATTTATGCAAATATACGCATTTATTCTATTAAGCCTTACTAGATCGAATTAGACCGACCTTCTGTGGATCTTAGTCTTCTCATCTCTTAAGTAATTCGTAAACCGTACATCATAAAATGTGACAGCCTCTATATTCTCACCGCTGTATTCGTAGTGCTGACATTGGCATTCCGAGAGAGGTGAAGCTGGGCATCTTTCTGACATGATTCTTGAATCTTCTTACTAGGCTTCGTTCTCTATGAGTGAGACATCGATGCACAGCCTAAGCTTAGCACCATGCAACCCGTAATGGTGGCGGGTGACTCGATACGAAGTGACCTCGACCTAACAATCTCGCCTCAGCGCCCCCCACCAGCCGTTCAGACTGTTTTTGCTCAAGTTATAAACTTGAACTCTCGATATCTCTTCTTGATACACACCATCTTGAAGCTGCGATGACTTCTTCTTCGAGGCCTGGAGTTGACTTGGAGAAAGAGTTGACCTGTTCGGTAGGTTCGCATTTAATAATTATGTAGGAGTATATATGGGTGGTTCGAGTTGGGGAGACACTGAACAATTCTTAGATCTGCACCGACATTCTCTATCAACCCTTGACCCTGCTCGATTGCCTGCATACCTTCTGCGGTTCTTGTTTAAGAGATTGGTTCTCATGGCAAAAGACAGCTGCAGAGAACTCGCCCAACCCTCCATCCCCCGATTCGCATAGATTCACCTGTCCGTCTTGTCGCGCGACCGTTCGCGATACTCGCCATAATGCCACTGTCAACACCCTGCTCGACATGTTCCTGGCTGCGAACCCGGACAAGGCCAAACCCGATGACGAGAAGGAGGAGATGCGCCTGAGGTACAAGCCTGGAGATAACGTTATCCCCAAAATACAGGTTTCCGACAAATCGCCCGAGGAGAGGCGGTTAGAGGAGATGGAGAGGCAAATGCTAGAACAAGCCCGCCAGATGAGCCTGCGGGATGTTGGAATTGAATCCGCAGAGGGATCTAGGGCGAGGCGACATCACGTCTATAGCCGGTCTGAAGACAGGAGTAGGTCCGACAGAGACAGCAGCCGGGAGACACGCCATCGGGATGCGCGTGACCGCCCACGAAGAGAGGAAGAGCATAGACGACGAGTTGACTCGAGTGGTATGTTGGTACCCGACGTATCTTCGGACGAACGGCGACGTCGTAGCAGTGAATCACACCACCGGTCGCGTGATTCATCTAGGGTTAGGAGGAGGCAAGTCGAGCACCAAGCATCGATAAGATCGTTGATTAGCTCGTCAGACGTTGACTTCCGAGACCTAGAAAGAGAAATAGAAGAGTTTGCCCGCCAAATCCAGGAAGAGGGTCTCCTAGACGGACTAGACTTGGACAATATCGACCTTACCCAGAATGATGACCTAAGCCGAAAGATCACAGAAGCGTATCGACGAAGGCAAAGGGAGCGAACTCGTACTCAGCAGCAGCAGCAGCAACCTCGGAGAAGTGACCCTGGAGTAGCATCTCATCGCCCCGAGTATTTACAGCCTACGTCACGACCTTCAGCAGACGCCTCCCGACCTAGCAGCCGACCGAGATCAAGCTCGGCACATAACAGACCGCCGAGCTCTTCTAGCCAAAACCAGGCGGATGGTCGTAGTCGCCCACCTATCACGTCAACTCATCTCGAGGTTCTTGCAGGCCAAGAAAGACGGCGGAGAAGGGCTTCCAGTGGCGGTAGGAGTGCGACTGATCCTTTGCGACCGAGGACACCAGAGACCAGACCCGCGGCAAGGTCGCAGACAGACTTGACCTTGAGATCGCAAAGTTCCGAACCGACCTCACACCGCCCGTCCATCTCTGAATCGAGGAGCACTAGTTTGCCCACTTCGAACTCGGTTGAACAGGCGCCAACGGGTGAAGGAACTCGACCCAGAGACCTATCTTTTAGCGGAAGAGCATCTGCTGCTCAAGTTCCACCAGCGCCGTCGCCAGAAACACATTCCGACGATTCCAGTATGGAGCGCTCTAAGCGACCGCGACGACCGTTGAGCCTCGTAGTTGCACAACCCCCCTTGCCAAGCCTCGGACTTATATCATCGTCCACGCACCAAGCACATCAGCAGCGGACACGATCCCAATTCTACCAGGAGCCGTCAATCACGTGTATGCGCTGCGGACGGGAGCACATCGAATATGAGCTTCATTACAACTGCTCGAAGTGTCTTGATGGGGGGTATAATCTCTGCTTGAGTTGCTATCGCGCCGGGAAGGGGTGCGAACGTTGGTTTGGTTTTGGATATGCCGCCTTCGAACGCTGGGAGAGAGCCCGAGCCGCAGGCGAAGATGTCGAACCGCCGCACATGCTGACTTCCTGCCGATATAGACAATCGAAATATGCCCCAGGCGGTGCGGAGGGACGGAGGACACTCACGACAGATGACCCGGCTAGTCGTCTAGAAAGTGGCATGTTCTGCTCACGATGCTTCGCCTGGGCCAACGAGTGTTTCTGGCGATGCGAATCTTGCAACGAGGCCGACTGGGGCTTCTGCAATAACTGCGTGAACCAGGGCAAATGCTGCACACACCCGCTGCTCCCTCTTGCCTACGTCGCCCCCGTCACGAGTCCCCACAGTCCACCAAGCAGTCCCCGGCTCCTGAGACGTCCACGGGGAGCGACCCTCTACTTGGGACCTAACGCGGTTAGCCTTGGGAATTTCAAGTCTCTCACCTTCACGACTACGTGCGAGGTCTGCCAGGAGGCCATCCCGCCTCACCACCGTCGGTATCACTGCTACGAGTGCACCAGCACGACCGCGCCGGATGCGCAGCAGGGCGACTACGAGATCTGCGTCGACTGCTATGCCACCATTGTCCACAAGAAACGTATATCCGACGAGAATGGCCACGGCGGCTGGAGACGCTGTCTCAAAGGTCACCGGATGGCCGTTGTCGGCTATTCAGAGGGCTCACACGGGCTTCGACACAACATATTCCAGGACATGGTTGGAGGTACGAGCCTGCGTATGGAGCCGTACGAGGGTACTGGGCCTAACGAAGAGGGGCTCCGTTTGCAGAAATGGAGCTGGAATGGTCCTAAAGGTGCGAGACTCGAGAGGTTCGTTACCGTGGATGTGGGTGCGAAGGCGCCTTCGTCTGGAACGGAAATGTTCCCTCCTGACGGTGGGGTAGGCCTCAAGGCGACTGCGAAGTGGTCTTGGTACCCGAAGGCCGGCACCACGGACGAACTGCTCTTCCCAAAGGGAGCCGAAATAAGAGAGGTAGAGGACATGAACGGAGAGTGGCTCATCGGATGTTACATGGGTGCCGAGGGAATGCTCCCCGCGCCATATGTGAGGATCGAAGGGAAGTAGTTACGACGGTTACGATGTGATTATGAGCATTGCTAGGATGGCATATACGGCGAAACTGTCTTGCATCTATGGATCTTGCACTGCATATATGATATACGGACGACGGTCCGACGATAACTCACTATGTTTATGATTGATCATGATAGTTAGTGAGACATGTTGTTATAGCTAGTTATCTAGCATATAGGAAAATAAAAATATGATTTGGATAATGAAAATCTAGGAATTTCTTTTCTGATGTGTTGATATCAAACCCCTTTTTCAGTAAATGAGGAAATATTGGCGCGATGTCTCGAAACGGCCCGAGGCGGTAACCGGCATGACGTGATTCGAGGCGCCGGGTAGCTGGAACCGAACCGATAAACTGCCCCGCCAAAATTATTTGTAAGACCTCGATAGCTAACTTTCCTCCTTGTCAATACACACATTCTCACGCTACCTCGCTGCAGACATTCTCTCTACTGTAGCTGTAGTGTTTCGTCTTTCAGCGACGGAATTGGCGGTATAAGGGTGAATAAATCAGACGCAATGTTCCGACACAGCGTGCGACGAATAGCCACGACGGCGCGCAGAGCTGCCGCCGTTGCGCCTGTAGCAGCGAAGGACCCGAGTCCGCATACGCTGGCCGTCTCTAAGGCGCAGGGCATTGCTAAGGGGTTGACTGGCGGTACGCTTTCCTGAATTTCCTGTGATCTGCCAATGGCTTGCTGGTCTAGCTACACACCTATAATGTCTACAAGGGATGACGAGGCGGGGGATGGACGGATCTAGCTAACGCAAGCTCTTGACTGACTGACTACAGCGATTGGCAACACGCCGCTCATCCGGATGAACACGCTATCAGAACAGACAGGCTGCGAGGTTCTCGGCAAGGCCGAATTCATGAACCCGGGCGGATCAGTCAAGGACCGCGCAGCACTCTACGTAGTCCTAGACGCCGAGGAGCGCGGACAGCTGCGGCCCGGGGGCACGGTAGTAGAAGGCACAGCGGGCAACACGGGGATCGGGCTAGCACACGTGTGCCGGTCGCGTGGCTACAAGCTCGTCATATACATGCCGGACACGCAGTCGCAGGGCAAGATCGACTTACTACGGCTG